ACAGAGGAAGATCCTGTCTCTAAAACAAAAAAGAAGAAGAGAGAGAGAGAGAAGAAAATTAGTAGATGAAGTGGTATCCACTTCTAGGCTCTTCAGTTTATGAAAATTCCCCTGTGACATGGTAGCTTTAAGTTTTTCCAAAATCAAATCCCAGCCCCACTACTTACCTCTGTGTGATCCTGGGCAGTTACCCAAACTCAATGTGTTTCAGCTTCCTCATCTGTAAAATGGTGGTAACAGTAGCTACCTCCTAAGGTTGCTGCTATAAGATAGCATGTATAAAACACCTGACTTAGAAAATAAACACTCAACAGAGCTGGGGCTCTGAATTTTAGACTTGAGGATGAGCTGGAAGTAAATCTGGGATTAGAAATCTAGCCAGCGATGTGAACACTTTAAGAAAATAAACTGGACAAAAGAAGAGAAACACCCAACAAGCAAGGAACACAGGTGTGTGGCTGAGAGCAGGATTGCATCTGCGTGCTGGTCATTGATGTCTTCTTCCTTGAATTCCTGGATTAGCAAACATGGAAATACCTAAACTCCAAAGTAGGATCCTTATTATTAAATTAAATAATGCATATTAAAACGCTTTGAAAAAATATAACATACTAGAGCAACCTAATAGACAAGGATAATGTTAGATGCCAATGATAGTTGCAATAAATAGAGACATGTTAAGGTTAGCTCGTAATTGGGAGAAGTGGGGGACAGGAGGATGGTACTGTAAAAATGTTTGTGGAGATGTGGAAAACATAAATCTTAGCCCAGTAATCAAATCCCATAGGAACCCAAGAAAAGTCCAGCACCCAGGTCTCACAGAGCCTCATACAAGAAAATTGTTCAGGATCCAAGGCCTTGAGGAGTCTGAGTACTTTGTCTCCTTTCAGAAGTATAATTTCATGGATCCCTACTCATCCCCACTTTACACTCACTTGCTCCGTCTGCATCTGTGTGTTCTCACTTCTGCTGCATTGAAGTGCTGATTCTGAGTATTCTGGTGCACATTCCCAAGACAGTGAATGACTAAGCCAATGAGATGCTCAATGAGATGCATCCAGGCAGAGTTTCTGCTGTCGCTGATTAGCTTGAATGCCCTGGGATCAGGTGCCCACCCCAGATGCAATCAGCTAAGGCCCAACATCACAGAGTCAGGTGAACAAAAACAGAGCTCCCAGGCCCTCACAGCAAGATCTTTGAACTGAAATGCTTTTCTTAAAAGAGGATTCTGAGCATGGTTTTTTTTCTTAAAAGAGGATTCTGATCATAATTGGAGAAAAACATACACACACACACACACACACACACAAACTTCAAACCCAACATCAAACTACAAGACACAAAAAGTTAAAAAAAAAAAAGAAAATTGTTTTAAATGCTATCAAAAGTTTCAGATAGATTACCTTCAAGCATGTTATTGTTTAAACAAAAGGTCAAACCATACGGAAAATCATGACTTACCTAAAAAGCTATAGTTAAAAAGCTTATCAAACCAAGTGAGACAATACTAGAATTTGTGGAATGAGGGGCCCAAAGAGTACCACAAGATGGCAGCATTATCCCATATGTGCTCTATCTGGGCGTTACCTGAGACATGTTCATCTATTGAGCCTTCTCTCAAACTGCCCACTTGTTCCCTGAAGCTGTTTTTAAGAGTGCTGAGCAGCCCCTAGTTGATGGAGAAGTATAAATCTAAATAGTGGGTGTGGCAATCAATATTCCTCAGAGACAGGCTTGTATTTTTGTAACCTCAAGTTCACTCAGTATCTCTGAGCATATTCGGATCCCAAGATCTGGAGTTATTATGTTTTAGTCTAATTAAATATGTAATTAGGCATGGAAGCAGTAGCTTGGATTATCCAAGGATTGCAGGCTACCTATGAATTGCAGAAATTCAATTTTTTATTGTAATAGCCCTTATTTGGCATTCATGTAATCCAGTTTTTTATTATAGCTATTTTTAATTTATGCAAGTCTCTCTCTCCCTCCTACAAGATTCAACTCAATCCCAAAATACATAGTGAAAAACAACTGTGAATATAAATTGTATGCAGCTACTTTGCTAGGCCACGGTACCCAGACATTTAGTCTAACACCAGTCCAGATGTTGCTGTGAAGGTACTTTTAAAAGAGATTAAATTTAAATTAGTAGACTTTGAGTGAAATAGATTACACTAAATAATGGCAGGGGCATCATCCAACCAAGTTGAATGCCTTAAGAGAAAAAGACAGGTCCAGGAGGAAGAGGGAATTCTGCCTCCAGACTGCTGTTGGACTCAGACTGCAACATCAACTCTTCCCTGGGTCTCCAGCCTGCCAGCACGCCCTGCAAATTTTAGACTTGCCAGCCCCCACAATCATGTAAGCCAGTGCCTTAAAAATATCTCTCTCTGGAGAACCCTGATTAATACAACTATAGGCTAGGCGCTGCACCATGGAATAAAAAGGTGATGAAGAAATATCTTTGATCTTGTGTTGGGAAAATTCCCTGCCAGAACCAAGAACTGCCTCTGTAAGTAGAGGGCAAGCTCATGAAGAGGTAGACTACCCCAGGTTGTAGGTAGTCAAAGATTTATTCAGGGGAAACTTATATAGCAAGCAGTCTTGTGTAGCAGCAAGAAGTAGATTTTTGCATTTGCAATGTACACCTGTCTAACCTTTTATACCATGAAAATAAAAGGGAAAAGGAAAAAAGAAAAAGTCACTAATGACGTGTTAAGCCATCTGGTTGCTTTCTTAATTTATTTACCTTCTACTTACAGAGATTGTTTGGTTCCCTACAATCAATATTCCTAAGAGGCAGGTTTCCAGGAAGCAGCAGTTATCTTGGCCCTCTGATCAATGTATCTTACAACTCACTTCACAATTACATACATAGTACACATTTTCATAGCATCTTGAGAGACACATGAATACATAATGAATACTGTGAGTGCTAAGGCAAATGTATTATACAAGCACTATGGGAACACAGAAAAAGAGAAATTATTTGGGTGGCAGGGAGAAAAACCGTAAGAGATGACATCTGAGATGCAAAGAATGAACAGGTATCCAACATGCAAACATAGACAGAGGAAACCCTAGGAACAAAAATAAATGTGCAAAAAGGGGCCCTCACGTAGATATGGGAGTTCAAGGTACTGAGATATAACATCCAACATTTGAGCTCTTACTAATTTGTTAAGGACTTTTATTTTAAAAACATGAAATTTCACAACCGTATGAAGGTAAAACTCTTACCCCAACTTTAGTTTCAGAAACTGAGGAATACCAGGCTTACGCAATTTGTCTAACACCCCAAATCAAGTAAGAATATGAACCAAAGCAGTCTGACTTCAGAGCCCTCAGTCCTCACCACTGTTACTAAGGCCTTATATGCACAAAGTGGAGGCCAGGAACCTTCAGGTTTATAGACATGTTCTTGTTTTTTAGTATTCCCTTGTACTTTTTAAATGTCTTTTCTAATAAGTAAAAGTCAAGTCAAATAGGAGTGTAAATTACCCATACATTCTTGGAGTGAGTTTCAGCCCCATCTTTATCAGGATTTGAACATTGCACGGTTCCTGGAGCCCATTAGGAATATATTTATGGTCTAAACTAGAATTAACAGCTATAAACTTTTCTTCAGTTTACAATGAAGTAACAGTAGTGGGCGACTTTTTGCTACACTTAACCTAAAAGTGGACTAGGTGGATCTTATTAATTTATTACCCTTTACATGCTTATAAGCCTCTATTATTCAGGGTGTGTACATGAAGGATAAATTACCTTGATCTTCCACATTGGTCTCAGGCTGTCCCTTTCTCTTTCTCAACCACCTCTATCCCAAATTTTACCCAAGATCTTCTCTTTGTCCTTCCTTTACATTGTTTCTTTGGAATTTTGCTTTAACACCTTTTTAAATTACAGTCATTAGAAGTGACTACTCACTTCTCTTACTGGCTTTGAAAATAAGACCTGTCTTACTCAAATATTAATCTGAAGACTAGATGGCATCTGGCCACATACATGCAAACTGAGCTAAAACAGGAATAACTAGCAACAGAACAAATCTTAAATATCTGATAAATCTGAACAAACATAGATAGGACTACCTTCATCCAAAAGCAAAATCTAGAAACTAAGTAACTTCTTGAAATATGTGCACAGTGAGGATTGGAGGTGTAATGATTAAGAATCATTGCTTTGGAGCAGGGGTCCCCAACCTATGGTGAGTTATATAATTTTTTCATTATATATTACAATGTAATAATAACAGAAATAAAGTGCACAAGAAATGTAATGCGCTTGAATCATCCTCAAACCATCCCCTCCTCCCCAGGCCATGGAAAAATTGTCTTCCATGAAAACAGTCCCTGGTGCCAAAAAGGTTGGGGACTGCTACTTTGGAGTGTATTTTAGATACACAGATAGACAGACAAAGCTTTCATTATATGAATCTGATGAAATCTTGACCCAATTTGGAGAAATACACATCCACAAAATTCTTTTAGAAATTTATGAGAGCTCATGTCCCCTCCAAAAGTCATCCACAGAAGTCTTTCAGGGGTCCAACTCCAAAGTTGAAAAAATTAAAAACCTGACCTAAGTATTCGATTAGCTGGAAATTTCCATTACCTATAGCTATACACACAGGGATCCTTTTGAAGCACTTTCTACTAAACCACTAAAAGGAATAGCTATTATTTTTATTTGCATAGAATAGTGAAGAACTTCATGAAGTTGTATTTTTTGTTGTTGTTGTTGTTGTTGAGAAAAAGTCAGCTGACTCTTATTGCTGGAGGGGAAGTTGGGTTTTATCAATTACAATCTTTTCACACTATCACCCTTCTGAAAGGAATTTCATGAGTGGATCCATAATTCTGTGACATAATAGATGGAGATTAAGAGGAAGATGATAGGAGAGGACATCAAAAGCACAAAATATTTGAAATAATGTACATAAAAGGAAGTATATGGTGCTGTGCAGAGAATGGTGTTTGATAAATGACATCAGATAATTCAGAGACCTTTTTATTAAATATGAAAAAGTAGTTCTCATTTTACAAGCTCAAAATCAGACAAATGTATAAGGGTATGTAGAGTGGAATATTTATAAACTGTATCCACCTAAAAACTCACTCTGGACACAATCTATCAATATATTACATTCAACATCTGCATATTTACATGACACTTACTGCAAAATAAATATAAAATGAACTCCCATCATTTCAGTGCACTATACATGTGATGTAGTTTCAAAACAAAGGCAATATTTTTAGCCAAAACCCAGAAACTTCCTAAATACCTATTCACTATTTTATACAAAAATACAATAAGATAAATTGTAAGGATTCCACTCAGGTTTAGTCAGTAAGATATGTTTCTATGTTACTGAAATACAGCTAAAGTTTTAGGTTTTAATTACCAAGATAACTACTTCGGATTCACAACTGACCTTAAAATAATGGATGCTAATATATATTCATTTGATGAAATTTTTAAGTCTTCAAAACTTAAATAATACAATTCTAAAAGTAGATGTGCCTTGCCATTCATTCAATAAACATGATTTATTTTAATACAGGTCACAAAAGTTCAATTAACTGACTAGAATTCTATATCTCTTCCCTGCCTGCTAGGGTTCAGTCTTAAATCTGACTATATCAAAAGCAGCAGTTCAGAATTTATTTCATAAGGTTAAGCCTAAGAGGTACTGTGTAGCTTTTAAACTATTTCATTGCTTATAAATATAAATCTTTCGATAGTCTATACCAGTGGGTCCTTACATCATATCTGGGGAGCTCTTTAAAAAATACATGGGCTCCACATCATAACTTATAACCAAGAATCCAGAATGTCTGCATTTCTTTTGAAGTTTCCAGGTGATAATACTATACAGTTTAGTGTAGGGAAACCCTGACCTAAACCACTAAGACCTGTGGTTCTCAACTTTTAAGGTAAATCAGAATCACTGGGGGAAACTTTAAAAACAAAACAAACAAAAACAAACAAAAAATCCAGATGTGCTTTAGTAAATTGAGAGTGGTATCCAGGAACCAGCATTTTAAACAACTATTGCAGTTGGTCCAAAACCACTCTGAGAAACAATGCCCTGCCTTTGTCAGATATATTATAAATGAGTACATTCAGCAACTTAGGTGATATTGTCCTGCAAGCCCTAATATATCCTGCCTTAAGCAGCTTTGCCAAGTGTTTGAAGGCAACACCTAGCCTTTTCAAATAAAATATATTTAAATTCTTAAATACGAGGTCAAAGTAAGTGAATTGTGAAGTCATAATTCATTCATTAAAGAAGAAAAAGGCTCTTTTAACACACTATTTAAATCTTTAAATGGACCAGTTCTTAACACTCAAATCTAATGCTTTCTCCATCATTAGCCTGATATGTGATCAGAGGTAGTGATTCCAGCTTACCAAAAATGTAATATGAGTTATAAAAGATACACATTCAAATTGTACACTTTCACAGGCTCTGTACAGTCCCTATGTAGTAGGAGACCAATTAGATATTAAATAATACTAAAACAGTGTATAATATGTTCTCAATTTAAAACTTCATAATATTTTCCTCACATAATAAGTTCCTACATAAAATATCAGGAAAAAAATTCTAGAAAACACTAAAGATATTATGCTGCCTCTTTTGTGAAGCTATTTACTAATTTTCCACCATTCCTATCATTTATCTATAAGGTGGGTAGTTGGTACATAGCATTCTACTTTATGAATTTTTTAAAAGCACAGAAGCTGTCTCTCAGTGTGTGATGACTAAGTATTATAAATATATTAGCTCGTTTGAGTATGTGATAGTTCCACCACCCCCATCAAACTTTAGGAACAGATGTAACCTACTTTGAACCCAAAAGCTACAGAACACCACCACCAAGAAGCAAAGAGAGTACAGTGTTAGTAGAATCTATCTGGCATCTTACTTACCTAAATTATGTCTAAAGTGCTGTTATATCTCGTGCATGCACTTTTCCACTATGTTCTTCACAAAGGCTTACACTACATCTTTTGCAGGGGCATATGTGATTAAATAGTTGTTATTTCTTCTTTACTAAGCAATGAGAAGGCAATTACCAAAAATCAGCATTGTATTGCCAGAAAGGCAAGTCATTTCAAAAAATACGAAATGGAAACTTTGAAATCTACATTCATTAAGAAGCTAAAAAATTTATACTAATTTTTAACCACTAGAATCTAGACTCGTAACAAATCATTTTCCAGTTTATAAATGATTCAAAGCCAAAATAATGAATTTTAAAATTAAACAAAGGTTGAAAAAATTACATAAAAATATCAAAACCAAGTAACATTATGTAAGTTACTTAGAAAGAAAGGCTTTTGAATGGCTGAAATGAATACATGGAGACTCAGCAATCATGGTATAAGGCACTACCCTCAACTTCAGTCTACACTTAGGTCATCTTAATCCAAATACAGGATAGGGAAAGAAAACACACAAACACAACTTTTCATGTCCTTTTAGCTGGTCTGGCAGTTAACTGCTTTTCTCTTTCAAATTCCTTCTCTCGTTGCTGCTCCCTTTCCAACTCTTCTTTTTGCCTCTTCTGCTGCAGTTTAAGTGCTCTTTTCTGTGTCAAAAAAAAAATGTAAAACCAAGAAAACAATCAAGGGTTACAGGTTATGACCCAATTTAAAAATAATAATGCTTTGAGTTAAGGTAATCAATACATACTAATAAATTTAATATTTAACTTTTAAATTCATTTGGAGTAATTTAAGGGTCCCCTTTATTCAAAAAAGAGTTGTTACTCTAAGCTCTTATTAAATGAGAACTGCAGAAAATATCCAGAGAATATGAGCTACCAGCCCCGCTACTAATAAGGAAGATCAGAGTGGGGTTCAAAAACGTGACATTTTTAAAAGAAAACAATGTATCATAAATGAAGTGTACTATTGTATATGGACGTATATAAAAAGTAAAAAAAAAAAAAATAACCAGCCTGAGCAAGAGCAAGACCCCGTCTCTACTATAAATAGAAAGAAATTAATTGGCCAACTAATATATATATATAAAAAAAATATTAGCCGGGCATGGTGGCGCATGCCTGTAGTCCCAGCTACTCGGGAGGCTGAGGCAGCAGGATTGCTTGAGCCCAGAAGTTTGAGGTTGCTGTAGCTAGCGTGACGCCACGGCACTCACCTCTACTGGGCAACAAGCGAGACTCTGTCTCAAAAAAAAAAAAAAAAAAAAAAGTCAAAAAAATAAAACTGAAGAAAAACAATAAAACGGTTTCTGGTCTTTTTCCCCTTTTCTTTTAGTTATGTGTTTTTTCAGTCTCATTTTTTAGTGTATCTTCACTCTTTTCATTATCTTTTTGCTCCTCAAACTGCATGATTTTCCTAGTGACTTAGTTCTTCAAGTTCACTGATCCTTTCTTCTCCTTTATCTAGTCTTTCTGTGAACCCCTCATTGAAATTTTAATTAGCTATAATCTCTTTCAACTTCATATTGATGTTGTTTTATAAAAAGTATACTATACTTTCTGGTCTTTATGGGAAATTATCAGTTGTTCTTGCATGGTTGTCCTGGCATTAGGGAAATCATTTATGACCATTATTTTGAATCCCTGTTGCGAGTAAATCGCATTCCACTTTAATTATTTGTTAGTCTTTTCTCTATTGTTCTTATTATAGGAAATAACTAAGTACAT